CCTCTGGCGTCGAGAATTCCCACGCCTGCCGCGCCCTGCGCGCCTGCAGCGCATAGAGACCGCACCCCCTGCGCACCTTCCTGGTGTCGAGAAAATGCCGCGCCTTTCGTGCCCTGCGCGCCTGCAGCGCGTAGAGACCGTACCCCCTGTTCACCCCCTCTGGCGTCGAGAATTCCCGCGCCTGCCGCGCCCTGCGCGCCTGCAGCGCATACAGACCGCGCCCCCTGCGCACCCTCCTGGTGTCGAGAAAATGCCGCGCTTGCCGTGCCCTGCGCGCCTGCAACGCATAGAGACCGCGCCCGACGTGCACCCCCTCTGGCGTCGAGAAAGTGCCACGCCTGCCGCGCCCTGCGCGCCTGCAGCGCATAGAGACCGCACCCCCTGCGCACCCTTCTGGTGTCGAGAAAGTGCCGCGCCTGCCGTGCCCTGCGCGCCTGCAACGCATAGGGACCGCACCCCTTGTGCTCCCCCATCTGGTGTCGAGAAAGTGCCACGCCTGCTGCGCCCTGCGCGCCTGCAACGCATAGAGACCGCACCCCCTGCGCACCCTCCTGGTGTCGAGAAAGTGCCGCGCCTGCTGTGCCCTGCGCGCCTGCAACGCATAGACCGCACCCGATGTGCACCCCCTCCGGTGGCAGTGCTGCGAGGGGGAGGGGAGGTGTGAGGTGAGACGCGGGTGCGACGCGGCAGGTGTGAGGTGAGACGCGGGTGCGCCGCGGCAGGGAAGAAAACCAGAACCCCACGAAACATGTGGGGAAGAAAACCAGAACCCCACGAAACAACGCATAGAGACCGCACCCCCTGCGCACCCCCTCTGGTGTCGAGAATTCCCACGCCTGCCGTGCCCTGCGCGCCTGCAGCGCATAGAGACCGCACCCTCTGCGCACCCTCCTGGTGTCGAGAAAGTGCCGCGCCTGCCGTGCCCTGCGCGCCTGCAACGCATAGAGGCCGCACCCCATGTGCATCCCTCTGGTGTCGAGAATTCCCACGCCTGCCGTGCCCTGCGCGCCTGCAGCGCATAGAGACCGCACCCTTTGCGCACCCTCCTGGTGTCGAGAGAGTGCCGCGCCTGCCGTGCCTTGCGCGCCTGCAACGCATAGAGGCCGCACCCCCCGCGCACCGCCTCTGTTATGAAGACATTGCCACGCCTGCCGCGCCCTGCATTCCTGCGCGCGGCCGCGTTGAGGGGCCGCCCCCTGCGCACCCGCTAAGCTCAGCTGTGCTGTGCTGAGCTGAGCTATGCTGTGCTGTGCTGTGCTGCGCTGTGCTGTGCTGAGATGAGCTGAACTGTGCTGTGCTGAGCTGTGCCGAGCTGAGCTGAGCTGAGCTGAGCTGAGATGTGCTGAGCAGTGCTGTGAGGAGGAGAGGAAGAGTGAAGTGTGTGTGTGGGAGTGTTGCGGGTGCGGCGCGGCAAGGAAGAAAACCAAAACCCCGCGAAGCATGTGGGGAAGAAAACTTTACACTGGAAAACCATCAGAAACCTTACGCTGGAAAACAACAAGAAAACCTCGCAATTGAAAACGATCAGAAAACCTTACAATGGAAAACAATCAGAAAGCCTTACACAGGAAAACAATCAGAAAACCTTACAAAGGAAAACAATCAGAAAGTCTGACACAGGAAAACAGCAAGAAAACCTTGTAATGGAAAACAATCTGGAAACCTTTTTACAATTCAAAACAATCAGAAACACTTACAATGGAGAACGCCAAAAAGTCTTACAAAGGAAAACAATAAGAAAACCTTACAAAGGAAAACAATAAGAAAACCTTACAATGGAAAACATTAAGAAAACCTCACAGTAGAAAACAATAAGAAAACCTTACAATGGAAAACAACAAGAAAACCTTACACTGGAAAACTATAAGAACACCTTACACTTGAAAACAATAAGAAAACGTCTTTGGTACACGAAACGCTGGCAGGGACTGAAAAACCAAAAATCAAAAGGTTTCGGGCCCTCCGCCGAGATCCGCCCAACCATGGAAAACAATCAGAAACCTTACAAAGGAAATCAAAGAGAAAACCTTACAATGGAAAACAAAAAGAAAACCTTCAAATGGAAAACAATACGAAAACTTCACAATAGAAAACAATGAGAAAACCTTTCAATGGAAAACGATCCGAAAACCTCACACTGGGAAACAATATGAAAACCTTACAATGGAAAACAACAAGAAAACGTCTCGGGTACACGAAGCGCTGGCAGGGGCTGAAACCCTCCCGCCCCCCCAAAAAACACAAAAAAACGCTGGCAGGGGCTGCGAAAAAACGAAAAATCAAAGGTTTCGGGCGGATCTCGGCGGAGGGGGCCCGGTATGGATTTCATTTCCCGTCCAGTTCCGCCCGAAACCTTTGATTTTTGGTTTTTTTTAGTCCCTGCCAGCGTTTTTTTTTCTTTTGTCCCTGCCAGCGTTTCGTGTGCCCAAGACGTTCTCTTATAGTTTTCCATTGTGAGGTTTTCTGATTGTTTTACATTGTAAGGTTTTCTTATTGTTTTCCATTGTAGGGTTTCCTTATTGTTTTCCATAAGGCTTTCTTATTGTTTTCCATTGTAGGGAGTTCTTACTGTTTTCCATTGTAAGGTTTCTCTTGCTGTTTTCCATTGTTGGGTGGATCTCGGCGGAGGGCCCGATTTTTTTTTTCTTTCTCGGCCCCTGCCAGTTTTTTTTTTTTTGCTTAAAAAATATATAAAACAAATCCCTGCGAGCGTTTCGAGTACCCAGGACGTTACCTGATTGTTTTCCATTGGAAGGTTTTCTTAGTGTTTTCCATTGTAAGGTTTTCGTATTGTTTTCCATTGTAAGATTCTCTTATTGTTTTCCAGTGTAAGGTTTTCTTATTGTTTTCTTCCTGATTGTTTTCCTTTGGAAGGTTTTCTTATTGTTTTCCATTGTAAGGTTTCTCTTATTGTTTTTCATTGTTGGGCGGATCTCGGCGGAGGGCCCGAAACCTTTGATTTTTTTCAGTCCCTGCCAGCGTTTTTTTGTTTTTTTTGGTGGTTCTCCCGTTTTTTTATTTGTTTTTTTTTGGTTGTTTCAGTCCCTGCCAGCGTTTCGTGTACCCAAGACGTTTTCTTGTTGTTTTCCAGTGTAAGGTTTTCTGATTGTTTTCCATTATAAGGTTTTCTTATTGTTTTCCATTGTAAGGTTTTCTTATTGTTTTCCATTGTAAGGTTTCTGTTTGTTTTCCATATGAAGGTTTTCTTTTTGTATTCCAATTTAATATTCCTTATCGTTTTTTGATTGTACTCGTTCTTAATATTCTTGATTGTATGGATTTCTTATTGTTTTTGACTGTACGGGTTTCCTAGTGTTTTTGCAAACGTTCTTGCAATAGCGTTTGATCAGCATCTACATCAACATATGAACGAACTTCTTCGTTTAAAGCTTTCGGGCTTGCATTTGTGAAGATGGGGTCCCCGTGGGGGGGGCTACCACATATACAGAGAAAGAGAGAGAGAGAGAGAGAGATCTATAACAACATGGAGAGAGGAATCACATAGAAGGAACGAACACGAGAGAGACCAACATAACGTTAGGTTTCCGTTGCTCTTAAGCTAACCAGCCTCGCATGTCATTGCCAAGTGTTTGTTTTGACGAACCTAAGTTTCTCTCTTCTGCCCGTCTTTCCCTCCGTCCTTCGCCCCGCGGCGCAGGAACACCTCATGTAACGCTCGGTCCTCTTCTTCCCCCCCTTCCTTTTACCTCTCCTTCGTTCTCCTCATTTCCCCCTCCTTCTTTTCCTCCATCTTCCCTTCCTTCGCTGCTCTACAATTCTCGGTCTCCTCCTTCTCTTCCTCCTCCTCCTCCTCCTCCTTGTCTTCCTCCTCCTCTTCATCCTCCTTCTCTTCGTCCTTGTCGTCTGTCCGTTCCCTCGCCCCCTTCCATTTCCCCGTGCCCCTCTTCTCCCCCCTTTTTCCCCGTTCTCCTGCTTTTGTTGTTGCTCCCTCCTCTCCCTCCTCGCTCTTTTTTTTTGATTCTTCCCCTCCTCCCCCTCTTCCCAGTCCCCCGTCCGCCTCAACAGTCTCGTCCTCTTTTTTTGTTTTTCTTCTTTCCTCCTCCTAGTGCCCATTCTTCTATCCCCCGTCCTTCTCCCCCTCCTCCATGTCCTCCTCCTCCTCCTCCTCCTCCTCCTCCTCCATTCCCTCCTCTTTCCTTCCATGCTCTGCTATCCACCTCCTCCTCGTCTCCCTACCTCTCCTCCTCCTCCCTCTCCTCCTTCTCCTTCTCTTTCCGTTCCCGTTCTTCATGATCCTCCTCGTCTTGGTCCTCCTCTTTGCGCTGAGGGGAAGAGGTCCGCAGCGCCGGTGCTCAGCGCAGGACGGGATTCCGTCGCAGTCGCGTTCGGGACATGGGGGACTGCACCCACAACCTTCGTCGTCGCCCTTGTTGTCGCCCCGGTCGTCGCCTTCGTCGTGGTCATCGTGGTTCTTGTGGTCGTCTTCGTCGTCGTCGTCGTCGTCGTCGCCGTGGTCGTCGTTGTCGTCTTCGTCGTCGTCGTCTTCGTCGTCGGGAGAAGGCCCAATTTTGTTTCGGAAAGGAGCCCGGTGTTCGCTACGTGATTCCGCCAGCGTGTCTGTGGCTCGGAGAAGAAACGCAAACATACATTGGTCGGAGGTCTGTGCTTATTTATCAGATCGCCAGAAATGTGGCTTCGTGCCTTGCCCAATGTTCCCTATGGCAAGACTTCGGCTGTGCTGCTGCGGGCACTGCCCCGAATGGTGATCTGGTTTGTCGCGTCCTTCTCGGCCCCTGCTTTTTATCTCCCTCGTGCCACGCCCCTCGGCCCTTCTTCCTCTTCGCTCCTCCTCCTCCTCCTCCTCTTCCTTTTACTTGTTCTCTTTCTTCCTCATCTTCCTCCTCCTCTCTTTTGCCTCCTCCTGCTGCTCCTCCTCCTCCTCTTCCTCCGGTCTCCCTTGCTGCTGCTCCTCGTGCCTTCCCCTCCCCCCTCCTCCCTCCCCTCTCCTCTCTCCCTCCCCCGTCGCCTTCTCGGTCGACATGCTGGACTCCTTCTGGTGCCCAGAGTGCGGCCGGGTGCTCTGCGAGTCCCACCGGCACCAGCACACCTGCGAGAGGCTGGACCAGCAGAAGGAGCGGAACAAACACATCTCGAAGAGGACAAGCCGGCACGGACGTAAACTCTCGCAGGCCCGCGCGGGGCTCTTGGATCGGCGCTGGGCCCCGGTGGCGGCGTCCCTGGCGCCGCCCCTGGCGCGCTCCGCGCGCCGAGGAGGTGGGCCCCGCGCCGGCCCCGGAGATCCGCGCGCGCCCCCGGCGGTTTGTGCCCCGCGCAGCTTCTCCTCTTCGGGCGTCACCAAGGAGCAGCTGCAGGCGGAGATGGCGGAGGCTCCGTATCGTTGAACCGATCCCCATCCCCATCCCCATCCCCATCCCCTTCGAGACCCCCACCAGAGTGCCCACCCAGTTGGGGGGATACACCCGTCGAAGCCCGAAGGGAACGACCTGCATTCCCCTCCAGGGGGGTAAATTCGGCGTCACCCCAACATACTTATACTATATGTGCGTCGCCCCCCCAGGTGCGACGCGCACACCGAGGAATCTTATAGTATACGCGTCGTGGTGGGCGCTTTCTGGCCACACCGCTCGGGAAACGATATACTACAAGATGGGTATACTCTATGTTCGGGTCGGACGCGCGCCCCCAAGGAGGACATATAGTATCAGTATGTCCCCGTGCTTCCCATAAATCGGCCAGTGGGGCCCAGCCCGCGCTGCTGGGCATGGGCATCGGCCAAGCGATGCTCCGAGGCGGAGGCGCGCAGGGAGGCGGCCGACGAGGAGCGGCGGAACGCGGCCCGGAGGCGGGCCGTGGAGGAGGACAGCCAGCGCCAGGAGCGCAAGGGCCGGCGCCTCGTGCTCGCCCAGAAGGCCAGGTCGGTGGAGGGCTTCCTGCAGGGCGTGTCCCGGGACACCGACGCCAACGAGCGGCGCGGCAGGCCCGGGCCGGGGCCGACCCGCGCCCGAGTGCGGCTCGATCGGCTCCTCCTCCTCCTCCTCCTCCTCCTCCTCCTCCCGCTTCGAGTTCGGCTCCGTGCCGGCGCGGCCTGTTCTGGCGCGGGCTCCGAGTCGACGCGGCTGCAGGAGTCGGTGCTGCCTGGTCTTGCCGTGGAGGGGCCAGCGGGGGGGCCAGGTTCGATGCGGCCAGACAGACCTCGCGACCTACGAGCGTATCCACATACCCATGCGCTCGCGGTGGGCGATCCTGTGGATACGGTAGCATTGTGTCGCGTCGACGCGGCGGCGACGCTGATGCGGGCGTTCAAGGTTGAGCGCCGCCACCGGCTTGGGGCCAGCCGGCATCGAACGATTCGCGATACCAGAAAGCTGGGGTCGCTCCAGGTGGAGCGGTGCACGCGGGGGCAGAACCCAGCGCGCAAGTCGTGACGATACGCAGAACCCCGCGCGCGGGTCTTGACGACACGAACTTGCCGCGCGCGATCCAATGGGCACGTGCCCAATGCTGGCCCGTTTTTCCACGAGGCCGCGGCTGAGGGGTCCATGCCGCAAGGCCGTAGACCCAGACATCCGACGTCGTTGGATGCCTGGTCCAGACCGACGATGACGCGGCGCCTGGCGTCCACTCCTGCCGCTGCCCCCCTCCCACTTACCATTCCTGCCTCTGCCGCATGTGTCTGTTTCGGCACACCCCTCACACGTTTCGTGGCCTCGTAGCTGGGGAGCTCCGAGAGGTTTTCGGCCACTAGGGTGGGGTGAGACCGAGAAGCAAGGCATGGGCAGGGCGATTGCGAAGGCGATGTGCTATCTGGGCTGGAGATGTTGAAGTGCCTCGGGAGAAGTGTTGTCAAGAATTCCTCGGGCGTTATCTGGGTAAGGGAATCTGGGACCCCCCTGTGCAAGAAAAGATCCCCCGTGAGGGGGGAGCTATCATTAGGGATGCATGCTGCGTGTAGAATCATGGAGCATTCGGCTCAACTGATTGTTGTTGTTGCTGTTGTTGCTGCTGCTGCTGCTGCTGTTGTTGTTGTTGTTGTTGTTGTTGTTGAACATTATTTATTCTAAAGAATAATTATTGTTGGGCCCCCTGGTGCGCGCCCCCCCTGCGCCGCCTAGGCCGCAGCTACATTTTCATCATTTTCGTGAGGAAGCCTCAGAAAAGAGGGTGTGTACAGGATCCGGTTGTTTTGTTGTAATCCGCTTTCCCTTGCAAAAAACAATAGAAAATGACATTTCTTGTTCTAATATAATCAAATTTCAAGAATCCCTTGCAAAAAATAAGGTAAAGTGGACATTCGCGCGCGCAAGACGAAATCCTTCCAAAACCTTAGTGTTCGCAGCGATTTTAACATAAAAACATCAAAAAACCAATGGTTTTTCAACAAAAAATTGTCAAAATCTCATCCCGCGCGCTCTTGCGGATTCGTAGGAAACCCAACACTTTTTAAACATTTCTGTCAAACGGGCTTTTGCGAGCAACTTTTTCGAACTTCTGCGACAACGGTTGCGCACCTGCCAGGGCCATCATCACCACAACCATCAGGACAACCATCGGGACAACCATCGAGACAACCATCGGGACAACCATATCCTCTCTCTCTTGTGTATTCCCACATCCCTCAGGAATTTGCCCTAAAGATGTGATCAACTATCTTGTGAGTACGTATCATGTGTATCATGTGTATCATGTACCATATGCATCATATGCAACAGATGTTCTGTGGAAGGCTTAACAACTTCTGTGGGTTAACAAGGCTTAACAACTTCTGTGGGTGTACGAACGTAGGCTTAACAACTTCTGTGGGTGTGTACTCCACGCCAGTGTAGTAGCCACGGTCGTCCGCAGGCCACGAAGTGAAGTGTCCGAACGTCATAGGGCGGGAAGCTGGGTGTGGGTGGTGGCGAAGAGTCGTGTGGATATTTGGTAGAGCTTGCACTGCCCCCCCACAAAGTGGGGGTATTGGCTGGCGTCGCATGAAAACCCTGGCACTGGTGAGAACACTGAGCGTTCGGGTAAAGTGATTGTTGTTGTTGTTGTTGTTGGTGATGGTGGTGGTGGTGGTGGTGGTGGTGTTGCTGCTGTTGTTGTTATTGTTGCTGTTGTTGTTGCTGCTGTTGTTGAGGTCTTACTATTGACTAGTACTTATTGTTGATCTCCCCCTCCAGGGCACGTTGTGTTTTTTCAGGTAAAGTGCCCTCCCTAGGGCTCGCACTTTGTTTTTTTCAGAGAAAGTCTTGGGTCTCAGAATTGTGTTGTTGGGCTCCGGTTTGCAACAACAGCGGCTCCCGCTTGATATTTCCTCACGATTTATTCCCTAATCGCGCTCTCGCGCGGGACGTCCTCACATTTTATATAGGAATCGCGCTCTCGAGTGGGAGTTCCTCGCAATTCATTCAGACGCCGCGCCTTCGACACTCAGGAATCACGCTCTCGCTGTGGATTTCTCCACGATTCGTTTGGGAATCGCGCTATCGTTCGAGACCTCCGTGCGATTCACGCGGGACGCACGCTTCAGCAACCCGCTTGCTCGACCTGGCCGCCTGGGCCCGCCTTCCCGACCCGCTCGTTAGGGTCTACCCGCCCGATTTGCCCGTCTGGTTCTGCCACGTGTTTTCTTTTCCTCGCCCCCCTCCTACTATCTCTCGTGCTCCATCCTCCTCCCTCCCCCTTGTCCCTTCCATCCGTCCTCTCTTCCCCTGCCTTAGGGGCTGCATGAAATACACGTTGCAGGTCAGAATCGAAGACGACGAGGGCGGGTATCGAAGGTTTGGGATATACGTCTTGAATGGCCCGCGGGCAGATAAGAGTGAGCAGTTTTACAATGATTATCATTGCTGTTGTTATCATTATTATTGTTGTTTATTGTTGTTGTTGTTGTTGCTGTCATTGTTGTTGTTGTTGTTGTTGTGGTTGTTGTTGTTGTTGTTGTTGTTGTTGTTGTTGTTGTTGTGTTTGGTGTTGTTGTTGTTGTTGTTGTTGTTGTTGGTGTTGTTGTTGTTGTTGTTGTGGTTGTTGTTGTTGTTGGTGTTGCTTGTTGTTGAATCCTCAATTCTACAGAGCAGCTATTGTTGATCCCCCTCTCCGTTAACCATGGTGTTTTACTCAAGTTCTTCTCCTGGGGCTCGCACCCGGCTTTCCACAGGGGGAAGCGAGGTGTCACCAGACTCTGCCCCTGGCCCCCGGTTTACAGCAGCAGCGGCTCCGCCTGATTCAGGAGGGGAAGAAGCACACAGACACAATGAACCGTCACCCCCAGGACAAGATGGGAAAATATTGGGAATCCTGGGTTTTGTGTGTATTTATTGATGTGTCCCTGGGCCCCTTTAGTTTACAACAACAGCGGCTCCGCCTGATACTTCCCACAATTGATTGCCAAATCGCGCTCTCGCGCGGGACTTCTCACATTTCATACAGGAATCGCGCTCTCGCGTGGGAGGTCGTCGCAACTTATACAGACGCCGCGCCCTCGACATTCAGGAATCGCGCTCTCGTTGAGCATGTCCGCACGATTTATTTCGGAATCGCGTTATCGCTGGAGAATTTCTCGCGATTTATGCAGGACGCACGCTTCAGCAACTCGCCTGCTCCTTGTCCCTTTCTCCCATCCATCCTCTCTTCCTCTGCGTTCTGGCGCGAAATTCACGTTGCAGGTAAGACGCATACACCCCCAGGGTACGATCAGAGACGAATGGGGCGGGTATCGAGGGTTTGGGATACGTGTTGAATGGCACGCGAGCAGATCAGAGCGAACAGTTGAATAACAATAGTGATACTAGTAACTGTTGTTGTTGTTGTTATTGTTGTTGTTGTTGTCGTCGTTATTGTTGTCGTTGTCGTTGTCGTTGTCGTTGTCGTTGTTGTTGTTGTTGTTGTTGTTGTGGTTGTTGTTGTTGTTGTTACTGCTGCTGCTGTTGTTGTTGCTGTTGTTGTTGCTGCTGTTGTTATGGTTGTTGTTGTTGTTGTTGTTGTTGTTGTTGTTGTTGTTGTTCTTCGGTACGGCGTTGAAGCCGTCCCCGGCTTGTTGTTGATATCTTCTTCTTCTCTCAAAACTCAGGTGCTTATCCTTCAGGGTAAGCAAAGCTCCAGCGACCAGGGCTTGCCGCACGGGGCCGGAGAAGGGGTTGGCACTGGGGCGGCAGCGCAAGGTGCCCCACGGGGCCGGAAAAGGGGTCGGCATTCCTGGCGCGTTTCCAAAGGTTTCCCCAGGATTCTGCGAATCCCTTAGGATTCCTTTGGATTTCTGAGGACTCCTCCGGACTCTCTAGGATCTCCAAGGGTTCCTTAGGATCACCCAGGATTCATCAGGAGCCATTCCGCGGGACTCCCAAGGATTCCTCAGGATCCTCCAGGATTCCTCAGCTTCTTCTGGAGTTCCAGGATTCCTCAGGATCCCCCAGGAATCCTGGGGATCCCAAATGATTTTTCAGGATCACCCCAAGGAGTTCTCACGATTCCGTTGGGATCTCAGGATTATTCAGGATATCTTCGAATTCTTCAGGATCCCCAAGGACTCCTCAGGACACTTCAGGATTCCTCAGGATCCACCATGTCTCCTGAGGACGCCTACGGACTCTTGAGGATCCCCCATGATTCCTTCAGGGTATCCCTCAGGATTCGTAAGGATTCCCTAGCATTCTTGAAGATTCCCAAGGATTCCTCAGGACCCTCAAGGATTCCTCAGGATCCCCCAGTCTTCTTCTGGACTCATCAGGGTTCCTTCGGTTTCGTCCGGATTCCTCAGGACCCTTCAGGATTCCTCAGGACTTTCCCGAGTCTCAAGGATTCCTCGGGATCCCGCAGGAATCCTGTGGATCCCCAAGGTTTCTTCTTACTCTCCCCATGGGGTTCTCTGGATTCCGTTGGGCTCCTCAGGATTCTTCACGATATCTTCGAATTCTTCAGGATCCCCAATGATTCCTCAGGACACTTCAGGACTCCTCAGGAGTCCCCAGGATTCCTCAGGACTCCCCAGGACCCTTC